TCTCCTTCCCCCACTGCATCCACGAGCCTGTTCTCTATGTCTGCATCTCCACTGCTGCCCTGCAAACAGATTCATCAGTACCATTATTCTAGATTCCATAGATATGCATTAATACATGACATTTGTTTTTTCTCTTTCTTACTTCAGTCTATATAACAGGTTCATCCACCTCACTAGAGCTGACTCAAATTCGTTCCTTTTTACGAGTGAGTAATAGTCAGTTGTGTATATGTCCCACAACTTCGGTATTCATTCATCTGTCCATGGACATTCAGGTTACTTCCATGTCCTGACTATTTAGACAGTGCTCATGCGGCAATATTTTAAGAAAACATCTAGATAAATGAGATCCAAAAGGTGAGAAAAACATGTGCAAAGACACCGTTCCCTGAGAAAGAAAGAAAGAAAGATGTGGGGAGGGAGCGAGGGAAGGAATGGAAGGGAGAGAGAGAAAAAAAGAGAGAGAGGCAGGGAGAAAAAAGTGCCAGTTTCTTTCAAAACAAAGTATCTTGTTGAGATATAGGGGAAAGTTTCAGCCCAGTCTCCTAGATCTCAAGGACCCCACTGCCTCAAATAACGTGGCCTGAGTCCTCTAACAAATAGCTGTGCTTCCAAAGGAGAGTCTCTTACTTCCTGAGCCGTGACCACATGGCTATGTAAAGGCTAACACAGTAGGATGGTCTCCAGAAGCTTCTGAGAAGCCAGAGAAGGCCCTGACCATGCTCTTTCTCAGTACAAGAGCATCCCCAGCGCGACACGCAGAGGAACTGATTTATCACAGAGAGAGGAGTTATAAGATATTTTTTCTGAGGTAGCACAGTGTCATCAAAGACAAGGCAGACCAGAAACATTGTGGTCAATTCCCATGTTTATCTCGGTTTTCAGGCAAATCATAGCCTTTCTGAGCCTCAGCTATAAAATGTTCTGCTAACCCACAAAGCCACAAAGTTCTTTTGAAGATCACATTAGCTTGTGCATGTAAAAGTACTTTGAAAACTGTAAGTTTTATACAAAATATGAGAACAAAAATCTCAGAGTTCAATCCCTTTTCTGAACAGGTTATCTTTTATCCATTGTTGCTTCTAGCCACAAACTAGAATTACACACAATGTAACTAAAATTATTCCTCTCCGTTTTAGTACTTGGGAAAAAAAATAACATTCTAGATTGACTCTCCAAGCAGAATTCAGTAATTTAGACCAAATAAAAGGTGTCACAACAACAACCTGAGTATCTGGCTCTCCAAACCCAGTGTTTAATCATTTCCAACATTTGTCACAGCAGGTGGCGATGAGCCTCCATCTCAGAAATCACGGCACCAAACCAACATTTAGTCAACACCTGACAGGCAAGACTCATACCTAGAAAAAATTAGCTTCTAATAATTTTCTGCCCAAATAAACTTTCCAAACTGGCCTCTTGCTTCTCACCTTATCTTGGTTCATCCCGAAGTTCTGTTTGGCCTCTCTTTATCTTGGGGGTCGCTACTTTGATGAGCACCAGCACCAACTATCCAGTTTCCCAAGCTAGAACCAAGATGCATCAAGTTCAAAAGTGCCAGTTTCTTGAGGATCTCTTGAGTCTGCCTTCTATGCTCTGCTCTCACTGCTTCTGCTCTGGACACAACCATCTTTGGCCTAGATCCCTGAGTTAGCCTTCTAACCTTTCGGTTTCATTCCTTCTGTCCATCTTCTCCGTGTGCAAATCTGACACACCTCCCCTGATGAACGGTTTCCCAGTGCTTTGGTGAAGTGAAAGTGGCTCAGTCGTGTCCAACTCTTTGTGACCTGATGGACTCTACAGTCCATGGAACTCTCCAGGCCAGAATACTGGAGTGGGTAGCCAGTTCCTTTCTCCAGGTGATCTTCCCAACCCAGGGACTGATGACAACCCACTCCAGTACTCTTGCCTAGAAAATTCCATGGATGGAGGAACTGATGGGCTACAGTCCACGGGGTTGCAAAGAGTCGGACACGACTGAGCAACTTCACTCACTCACTCACTCCTGCATTGCAAGCGGATTCTTTACCATCTGAGTCACTAGGATGAAGTCAAAATTCCTTATGACACCTCCAAAGGCTTCCATTTTTCTTCCTTTCCCACCTTCCACCTTAAGTTATATACCAGCCATATGTAACAGCTTCCAGGGTCTCAAATGTGATTTTTACATGTGCTGATCCTTTTGCCTGGAACATTCTCTGCTGTTCCTCTTCTCTGAGATAATTCTTACTCATTCAGATCTCAGTCGAAGCATCTCTTTCTCCTGGAAGCCTTTGTGACCATCCCCTAAAGTAGGTTAGCAGTCCTTCCCTCACATTTCAATAGACTCCAGTCTGCACTTATTTCCTTAACAGAGATAAAACCTACGTCTCACATCTTATTGAATGAGTTGCTCAGCTGTCCCCATTAAACTGCTATAAGCTCCATGATGACACAGGTCAGGCTTACCTTGCTTACTGTGTACCCCAGCATTGAGCCAGTGCCTGACACATAGTTGGTGTTCAATGAATACTTTTAAACACACGAATAAGTAAATCAACAAACTTTTAATCTATTTTCCCAGTTTACCAACAGTTTACTATTCTTGAAATCTGAATTAACATCTGCTTGCCTGCATGCTCAGTTGCTTCAGTCATGTCCAACTCTTTGTGACCCCATGGACTAGAGGGGGTCACAAAGAGTCAGGCCCCTCTGTCCATGGAAGTTGCCAGGCAAGAATACTGGAGTGGGTTGCTATCTTCTCCTCCAGGGGATCTTCCTGACCCAGGGATTGAACCTGTATATCCAGCATCTCCTGCATTGGCAGGCAGATTCTTTACTGCTGAGCCATGAGGAAGCCCTAAATTAACATTTAGTATGGATAAATTTCTTCTAAAATGCACTAAAGGAATATACATAATACTCATATCAAGTATAACATGAAAACCAAGATGAAATGAGAGGCTAAAATGTTTCTAAAGCAAATTATTCATGTGAAATCTTCATGGTCTATGACAGAGGTTGATAGAAAACAATAATGTCAACATTTAAGAAAGAAAACTATTATGGTTCCTTTACATTAAGATAAATGCATTCTTAACTCCAAGTGGCTTCTAAGAACCATTTATCAAAATCCATTTCAGGTTAATTAAAGTGAAGGCGTGTTACCTTGTCAGAGTGATCTGGAAGGAAGTGTAGCCGGCGATGAATGAAGCCAACCTTGTTAAGCTCTGCTTCCCCGATCCGCCCACCCCAACCAGGAGGGCATTTCCCCGGGGAGTACGAATGACTCGTGAGATCTAGAATATAGAAAAGAAAAATACATCTCATTTAATGTGCAATATTCCACTCTTTTCCTATTTATTCAATACAGGCATACCTAGGAGATACTGTAGATTCAAGTCCATGCCACCATAACAAAACAAATACTGCAGAAAAGAAAGTTACACATATTTTTTGATTTCCCAATACAAATGAAAGCTATGTTTACACTCTACCATTAACTGTGCAATAGCATTATGTCTAAAAAACCTGCACATACCATAATTGAAATATATTTTATTGCTAAAAAATGTTAGCCATCATCTAAGCCTTCAGTGAATGATCCTCTTTTTGCTGGTAGAAGGTTTGAGATATTGTGAGAATGACCAAAATTTGACACAGTGAAATGAAGTGAGTCAATGCTACAGGAAAAATGACACCAACAGACTTGCTTGGCACAGGGTGACCACAAACCTTCAATTGTAAAAATTGCAGTATCTGCTAAGTGCATTAAAGTGATGGGCAATAAAATGAGATATGCCTGTTTAAGCATTTTAGAAGATGTAGGCATCTTAGGACCAGAATAGATAGATACACTGGTTGGACAAATGAAGGCATTTCTGAAATAGAACAGTGGAGAGTAGGGAGATGTACCTTTTAGGTAACTCAGAGGAGAGCAGTACAGAACAGTAGGCAGAGCCCAGACTGTGTCTTGCTCTGGGTTTTCAAGGAGAGAAATAAAGGGGACTTTGAGGTTTCCTTTTAGTTTGCCAATCTAATTTAGGAGAACAGGAAAGAGAACAGAAAATTTCAAAACAATGTGTATCCTTGGAATACACAACACACGATTAATTAGAATATCCTCCACATTTGAAAACTAATGTAGTTTTAATAGAGGGCAAAAAATTTTCCAAAATATGGTATAAATTATGGAATTTGAAAGGAATAAACATAAACACTCGTATTATTTGGCAAAGACAGTGCTACCTAAGGTAGCTACTAAGTGATTATGTGTAGACCAGAAGTCCACTCTGCCAGTCAGTAGTTTCTCACCATCAAAGTCACCTTTTTGGTAAAAGTCTGTGATTCTTTAGTTTTATTGATATTCAATGAATTACTTTCACCATTAGGTCTCCAGCCCCACCTAGAGGGGATTACTGCAGAATTCTCCTGGATGCATTTTTCACCCCATGTGATGACTATCTCTACCTCCTAACTGCAGTTTGAGCCTGCAGTATTGCCATACTATCAGCTTTTTTCTAAACTAATGGTCAAGAATTACATGGGAGCTAAGAAAGGATCACTTCTCTGTTACCGGTGGAAGTTTTCTGGCATAGCCTGACCTCTGCATTCCAATAAGGTTTTGTTAAACATCCTTTTTCAGGATTCCCTCCACTGGCAGGTGTTACACTCTATTCCTGTTGGGACTACTCTTGATTTTGGATTTTACTCCCAATTTAGTGTGAGCCCTATGAAATGAAGACCATTTTCCTGCTGTGGACCTGAGAACCTGGTTCCACCAAACCTGGTAGAGCCTTGCTCTTCCAGACTCCTACTCATCTTCACCATGTGATTCTCCCCTAAGTTGCTGCAGGCAGGGGAGAGGTGGTACAGGCAAGAATTCTTAGCATTTTCCCAATGTCTGTTCATATCCTTTCCCTGGAGTTACTTCAAGAGGTACAGACAAGACAGGAAAGAAGTTACTGCAGCCACTCAGTATTCTGTCTTTTCTTGGTTAACTTATGCAAAATACATGACTTTTTCAATAACCATTTCCTTTACTTGATGCTGGTGAATATATCAAGGGTTTAAATAATTATTATTAAGTAGGTATTGGAAATTTTCATCCCAATAACTTTTCCAGCAACTGGGTTTAGGTCTGAAACTAAAAATTTCCATTCCCACCTTCCAGAACTATGTGCATACTTGCTCAGTGGCTTAGTTGTGTCCAGCTCTTTGCAACCCCATGGACTGTAGCCCACCAGGCCCCTCTGTCCATGGAATTTTCCAGGCAAGAATACCGGAATTGGTTTTCATTTCTTACTCCAGGGGATCTTCCCCATCCAGGGATCGAACACATGTCTCCTACGTCTCCTGCATTGGCAGGTGGATTGTTCATCACTGCACACCACCTGGGAAGCCCCTTCTAGCATATGAGAAACTCTTAAAACACATTTGACAAGCGAACATATATGTGAACAAACAAATAGAATACTTTAAAAGTAATTTCAAAGTCTAGTTAAAAACAGAAATTATAAGAGAAAACACAATGAAGTGAGAACTTCAAATGAGGCTATCTTGTCTTACTATCTCAGACTGTGAGATAGAGATATTCATTTTTTAATTTCTGTAGCAAATATTTTAAAATGTATTAATGCCCATCCTGCCTTGCAGGTGCTCATATTCCAATAGAGGAGAGAGACCTACTAATAGAAACATGCAATAAAGCACTGTGGTGAGTGCTGGGGTGGGCAGGAATGATAGCAACTGGAGTAAAAAATGCAAGGAAACAACACTGCTTGAGAAGGCATCTGAGATGTGGGGCTGGGAATTTTCTCTAGATCTTGAACAATAACAGAAGTTTATAGTGCAAAGAAGGTGACACATGGGGCAGCAGTTGGGCGAATTTTAAGAAGAGGGAATGGGATACACACAGGCTCAGAATCAGCAAAATGCCTGAGGGGTCCTCATCAGAACGGGAACTTCAAAACCAGCTATGGAAATACTGGAAGATAGGGTATTTAGGGCCATACTGGGGATTTGGTTCAATTCTCAACCTATTTATCAAGCATCACAAGGGTGCCTGTCTCAGCAGCACTCTATCCTGTGAATACCGAAGGGAATATATTGGGTATCCACCCTCATAGAGCTTATAGTCTTGTAGAAAAGACAAATACAAGCAGATGAATTCTACACAACAAAACACCTGCTGGGAATGTAGCACTGATAAGATGCTCTGGAATCAGGATGTGTTTAATCACGAGCAATTGATTTCTCTGAATTACACCCTAAATTGAGCACCACCCACAACAGATACGACAAACCATACATACCATGATTTGAACTTTAACCAAAGAGGCAAAAGACATTTTGCAGAAATATTCTTGGTTTCAAACAAAAATCATCATTTTAATAAAGAAAGGAAATAAGAAACACACTTGGTTTCAGACCACATCCTGTTTTGCTGCAGTTTTCATCTTCAATCGTGTCTCTTGGCTTCTATCCTGTCTTATAACTAGGTTACATATTTCAAGGCTCACACTCACATGACAGAGTTAGGATGTAAAAATACACAGAAAACGAGAGTGTAGGTGAGAGAGTTGGCCTAGGGAACAGTGAGAAATAAGGCATTTGAGCTCAAAACCTCCAATCACAGATTCTTTGGCTAATCTCAGAGGAGGCATGCTAGAGGCTGAGAGTGAGGGGAAAACACAGTCAAGGACCTGGGCTGCGGCACACATGCTTGAATGTGATTCCCAAACAAAGTGAAGAAATGCATCGTCCGTGGGCTTTGCTGGTGGCTCAGACAGTGAGGAATCTGCCTGCAAAGCGGGAGACCTGGGTTCAGTTCCTGGGTCGGGAAGATCCCCTGGAGAAGGAAGGAGCAACTCCAGTCTTCTTGCCTAGAGAATCCCATGGACAGAGGAGCTTGACGGGTTACAGTCTATGAAGTCGCAAAGTGTTGAACATGACTAAGTGACTAACACACACTTGTGCTGTAAAACCCAGAAAAAGGAAAGTTCTAGAGAACTTCCTCAAGCAAAAGATTAACATAAATAACCTCATTTATAGCTGTTGTGGAACCCCAAAGCCAATCAGATTTTGTCTCCAATAGATACCTAGTCAGGAAGTTGCCTTTGATATTATTTATTTAGAAAATGTTATTCTTTGGCTCCTTCCTTTCAATTAACTAAACATGAGAGTACCTCTATTCTTCCTGAAACATTTAACTCAACTATAAACTAGGAACTAATTTCAAGATGTTCTTTATATTTGGTTTTGGAATAACATTTGCACTCTTAATTCAACAGAGATGTCTCAGATTCTGAGAATTCAAAGTTTCCAAGCTAAGTGTCCTCAGGCTGGGGACATACAACCCTAGGATTTACTCGCTGTTGTTCTCCTTCTCCCTGATTTAGTCCAGCCTTATAGAAATGTCTTCCTCACACTCCTTAGTTTTTCAGAGGGAGAACTGATTAGATAACCTCTGAAATCATCTCCAATTCTAAGATTTTATAATTATTAGAGGTGTCAATTTGTAATTCTGAGGTCGTTCCTCATGGATAAGCCTAAGAAACGGAAGACAGCCCCAAACTGGCTTCTTTCTAATGAAAAGGATGTATTCTGAAAAAATAATTGCCATCAACAAAGTTGATCAACAGGGTTTTAACGGCATTATCTCCCACCTTCCATACATTAGCTCAAGTAAATATCTTTTATTTCTATCCTTTGAAAATCCATCATATTCATCATTATAGTGATTGGAAACCTAAGTGACTCATATGATAGAGTGGAAAGGAAACTGAACTTTCCTGGTGGATATCATTTAACAGAATTTTCATCCCAGCTCAAAGTCAATTATTTATGCATTATTATTAATTACTATTTCCAACTGTGGTAAAATACATGCAACATAAAGTTTCCCATCCAAACCATTTTTAACAGTATAGTCCAATCCCATTAAGTACATTCATATTGTTGTGCAACCACCATCTATCTCCAAAACTCTTCATCTTGCAAAAATGAAACTCTGTACCATTAAACACAACTCATTCTCCTTCCCTTGGCTGCTACCAACCACCACTCTTCCTGTCTCTCAATTTTCCACCTTAGGTACTGTAGAAGTGGACTCAAACAGTATTTGTGGTTCTGTGACTGGCTCATTTCACTTAGTATAATGTCCTCAAAACGAATGCCCGACTTTTTATAGTTCTCCTTAGCAGGATGCAAAATAGAAGCAGGCTTTGTGCCTGTGCTTCTGACTCAGATGTCAACCACATTCATTCTATAGAGTGAAAACACTGAGCTGGAAGAAGTATAGCAACACTGAATAAAATTATCATATCACACATTTGAAGTACACACACTCTGATTTTAAACCTATAGGTGTGACATGTTGCGTTCAGTTCAGAAATTAAATTGGAATAGAGCATGGGGTTTATTTTTAAACTGAACTTTCTCCGAGAAGAGGAAAATTAAAGAGGAGGGGAAATGTCTGGTGTAAAGGCAAGTGTCTGTCCCTCTGGGGAGGGGCTACTGGGCGTGGCCACTGACCTTGACTAAGTGAACCATGGCATCTGCAAAGAACACCAGGTCCATGCCCGCACCGCGGATGCTCTCGTTATAGAGCTGCAGGAACATATTCAAACGATCCTTCAGGTGATCAAAAGATTCAACGGGCTCATAAATTTTGGGCATCTCAGCATCAGCCTCCTCAGATGTTTCACCTGGGGTTAGAAAAGAAATATCAACTAAGTTTCTCCAAATCACTGGACTTTACCACTTCCTCAACCTAATTTAATACACTCATAGCTTTACAATTTAGCACTGAACAATACTTATTTTTACCTCAAGGCTGGAGTATATATTTTTAGAAAAGAAAGCAAACCATAGTCAAAGCATTAGAATTTTTGTGATCATATACAGCCTTAATTCTTTCTTGTCTACAAAGAGTCAATTTCAAATAATGTCCCATACACTGAATTTCATTTATATTCACAATAGACCATTGGCATTTCAAGGATCTTCCCAGAGATACTCGCTTAATGGTCAAAATGAAGATCAAAAAAGTAGGGATTTAATGTCAAAATCCGCAAAAGAGATAGAGAATTAAATGAGTTTTTAATAAGAATAAAAAGAAAAAGGTCACTGCATCTGCTTAGGAAATTTTTATGATTCAGAAATTTTAAGTTAATAGTGAAGACAGAAGTGAATTTTGAGAGAAAACAGAAAAAAAAATTTCCTAAACATTGAATTATTTCACTGGGAAAATTATTAAAATCACTAAACTATTTTAAAAGAGACAAGTATCAGTTTAACACTTTTCCAACTATGATTATAAAGCATAATGCCAAAGAAAGAGCCAAATTTGGCATATATAAATTCACTATCAGTTAACATTTGAATATACTAATATATATAATATAATATATTATAATATATACATTAGTATATTAGTTGAATATACTAATTAGTTCAATATACTAATAGTATATTAGCTGAATATACTAATATATGAATTTCTAAACAACTTAGAAATTCACTATTAGAAGAGTGAGTCTTCCAAATCTTATAGTACATAATTACTTTCAATTGACCCTGTCCTAACATAAACTATATTAACTTTTTTTATGAAAAAGCAAGAAAATTGATTTAGCATAATAAGATTGGTCTATTTGCAAAGCTCTAACAGAATTTCAATAGTCACTTTGTTATTTCATAAATGTTCCATTCAAGCTTTGAGAAACAAAGTGTGCTGAAGTCACAAAAGGTTCTGTATTTGCCTCTAGACTCATTCACCCCACGCCCACCCAAACCCCCAAGTCTCACCCCAAAATGCTGGAGTTGTACTCTGCACCTTGAACACACAATTACTTATCCTTCTGAATCAGAGGAAATAAAACACATAAATTCTAATCACCTTATAATGCTCCTACCTTTACATGATTTTTTGCATGATTTTTTACATGATTTTTGGATGTGTGTGACCTGATTTAAAATAAACTGTATCAGCTTCTTCCTCTGAAAAGATCTGTCCAACTGCATAGCCAGCAATAAACATCCTTTTCAGCTGTTACTGAGAAACCTGACAGATCACATACATCCTTATCAAGTCTAGTAAGGGGCTGCCGAGTCATTTTCAATCATGTAAAATGTATAAACAGCATGTGCTTAAACACGACTTTTTCAATATGAAAACTAACTTAATATTCATCCTCAGTATTAGAAGAGGTTTCTAAATGAAAGAAAAATATCCTACTTAAGCTCAATTATTTCTGAGGAAAAAAATTAACTGGAGCACCACTTTTCATAAAAAAATAATACAGTATATCTCAGTTTTTCACAGAACCATAACCACAAAATCTTGCCTCCCCATCACCCACCTCTAATTATATTCAATGACCCTCTCAGGGAAGGTGAGGTTTTCCTTTTCATTTTCAACACCTGGGAATATTCAAGTACTAATCATAGTGTTGCTAGATTTCCTCCCGCAGTGAATGCAGACACAGACGGCCCAAGCCATCTACGGACACCATCTCATTTATCCCCACCGGACCCATGATGCATATTTCAATATTTACATTTTTATAAAATAGAGGCAGGAGATTCAAGAAAGTTCAGAAGCTTGTCCAGCTAACGTATGGGAGACCCATTTCTCAAATCTATGACAGCTGTAAGCCTTGTGCACTGTCTTCTGCTGCACCCTGCCTCCCAACTCGACCTTTATACTCAGGGCTGACATGTACAAAATGGTTAATCTTAATCCAAGATCACAAAGACACATTTACTTGACACATTGTAGAGGAAATTTACAACAACATGCATACTATATTTATTGAGCACCTACTGTGCCTCAGGCTTGTTGCAGCAAAGTTCACTACACAGAAATTCAACATCCCTGAACTAAACCTCTGTCATCAGAAACCCCTTTCGTTGTTGTTCAGTCGCTAAGCCAGGTTCAACTCTTTGTGAGCAGCAGCACACCAGGCTCCTTTGTCCTCCACTATCTCCTGGAGTTTACTCAAATTCACGTCCGTTGAGTCAGTGATGCTATCTAACCATCTCACCCTCTGCTGCTCCCTTCTATTGCCTTCGATCTTTCCCAACATCAGGGTCTTTTCCAACAAGTCATCCCTTCGCATCAGGTCATCACTGGGCAACGGATATCCCTTTGGAGGATTTCAAATTCTGCTTCAATAGTTTACCTGTAGCTTCAGGTGCATCCCTCAAGAAATCCACAAAGTAAGTCTCAATTCCGCAATCCACCAGGAGTTTTTTCTCTTCACCAAACTCCTCCTCCACCAAGCTGACTAAAGTCCTATCAAACCAGGTCACATCGTCAGATGCCGTGAAACGATCAGCGATAACACGTTTACACTCATGCTTCCACAGCCTTAACAGTTCCTGTCAAAAGCATCATTTAAATGTGTTATTAATTCCCGTTATGTCAGAGTTGGGAATTCAAGTGGGCAGTATCATAGAGGACCATCCTTCCTGATTTAGAATGTGACATTTTAAAAAGTTAAGGCTAACATTACTGGTTGCCTTTTAATGTGAGCACCTTAGAAAAAAATCCTGGACTAATGGCTTTCATTTGGTATGTGATCACCAAAAAAGGACATTTTTGGTTGCCAAAATGATGTGTGGGACAATACTGGCATTTGTACAGGGATGCATAGTCTTAGGATACAAAATTGTCCATGAATATTACTGTCCTGTTAAAAAATAGGTAAAATAAAATAAAAAGTTAAAATATCCTTAGCTTTATTTCAAATTGGTCTCATCTGTGTTCAGTCACTCAGTCATGTCTGACTGTGACTCCATGGACTGTAGCCTACCAGGTTCCTCTGTCCATGGACATTCCCAAGCAAGAATACTGGAGTGGGCTGCCATTTCCTTCTCCAGGTAGTAAATAAAAAGTAGTGTCTATTCATTTTCAGCCCTTAAATTAAAACAAAATCATTCCTAGATAAAATACTAACTCACTCTGAATGACCAACAAACTAATACTCTTACATAAAAGTTTTATGTTTGTGATCAATTAGTCTGTCTGGATAAGACACCCACATTATGGCCAGAGCATAATATAAAAAGTTGTGTATAAACAACTCTCGTGTGTACAACTGAGATAATTACAAAGATACATTTACTTAACACATTGTGGAGGAAATTTAAAACAAAAATCTGGGTTATCTGCACAAAGCAATCACCTCATCTAGATGATCCAGGGCCCAAAGTTAACTGGAAGTTGAGAGAATTAATTGTTCAATATTGCTGTCCCAATAGTGAGAATAACAAAATTTGTCTAAGCATCTTATTTTATATGAAAGACTGGTGCAAATTTCTTAACTTGGTAACATTTTGCAAGATAGAAGGTTTTTAAGTTATATTGTGAAAGTGTTAGTCACTCAGTCGTGTCCAACTCTTTGCAACCCCGTGGACTATAGCCCTCCAGGTTCCTCTGTCCATGGGATTCTCCAGGCAATAATACTGGAGTGGGTTGCCATTTGCTTTGCCAGGGTATCTTCCAGACTCAGAGATCAAACCCGGGTCTCTCACACTGCAGGCAACTCTTAACTGTCTGAGTTCCCAGGGAAGCCATTATATTACTAATGTATAAATGTTCTTTGATTGCCAGAAAATAAAAGCTTAATGAAATATATTTAATGAGACAGTTAAGACAAAAGTTCATGACAAACCAATTGCTGGAACTGTTAATGCTGATATAAAATCAGCACCAAAAAAATAGGTACTCAAAAAGTAATATTGGTGGTACAGTGGTGAAGAACTGGCCTGGCAATGCAAGAGACGAGAGAGACATGGGTTTGATCTCTGAATCAGGAAGATCCCCTGGAGCAGGAAATGGCCATCTGCTCCAGTACTCTTGCCTGGGAAATCCCACGGACAGAGGAGCCTGGTGGGCTACAGTGCATGAGGTCTCAAAGAGTCAGACATATGCTACACAGCATAGCAGCATTCCACCATGCCATGAATTTGTCAATAACTTTGAGGGAAAAAATTAAATTACATGTTCACTACTGCTAAAATGACTCCCAATTCTCTGTAACAAGGAGAGTGCGTTTTCCCCAAAATGTCTTGTCTTGGAGTCAGCCAGTGTGGTTACCTACTTTGTGAGTATCTGGGGTAAAGCTGGGTTTTTCTTATCGTCCACATTTGATGTGCTTGTGACAGTTTGCCTGACATTTCAACTGTCTCTCTGCATTTATGCGGAGAAGTCCCTAAAACCTATTTGCTTAACTTCTACCTCACTATCATCAAAGTCTGAAAAAGCAGCTGGTATTGTCTTAGCCTGTGCACATAGGCCCTTCGAGGAAAAAAAAGTACTGTATTTTTACATACTACATACTTTATAATTTTACATATTGCAACATACTGACTTTTACATACTAGAATTTCCTTTTTAGTTCAAAAAGAATTCTTATAGTGCTAGGAACTGTTATATTTGAGTGTCTGTACAAATGCTCATTTTTTTGTCAAATAAAATTCAAATAAAATTTCTACTCTTCTGCCTATTTTCAGTTTTACCAATATTTGTAATTCTTTCAGTGCATCAAGTTGTATGGAAAAGAAAGATCATGGATGACTAACAAAAAAAAATGGTTTCACCCCTCAATTTTGAAAGTTTACTTATAAAGATAATTACTAGATTTCATATATATGCATTAATATATGATACTTGTTTTTCTCTTATTTCACACTGGATAACAGGCTCTAGGTTCAACTAACTCAAATTCATTCAGTCAGTTCGAATGATTCAAATCCGTTCTTTTATGGCTGAGTAATATTCCATTCTATATATGCACCAGTATATATATAGGGAATCTAGAAAAATGGTACTGATGAACCTATTTGCAGGCCAGGAATAGAATCACAGACATTGAGAATGGGCTTGTGGACACAAGAGGGGAAGGAGAAGGGTGAGGCAAATTGGGAGAGTAACACTGAAATATATACTCTATATGTAAAACAGATGGCTAATGGGAAGCTGCTATATAACACACGAGCCCAGCCTGGTGCTATGTGATGACCCAGAGGGGTGGGTTGAGGGGATGAGAGGGAGGCTTCGGAGGGAGGGGATTTATGTATATTTATCACTGATTCACGTTGTTGTGAATTGACAGAAATTCACATTGGCAGAAACCAACACAACACTGTAAAGCAATTATCCTCCATTAATAATTTTTAAAATTTTTTAAAAGATAGTCACTTTGTACAACCTCTTTAACAAGTGGTGCTGGGAAAACTGGTCAACCACCTGTAAAAGAATGAAACNAAAAGAATATATTAAATATATGTTATCGAGAGGGGAGGAGAGGGTAAGATGTATGGAAAGAGTAACATGGAAACTTACATTACCATATGTAAAATAGATAGCCAACGGGAATTTGCTGTATGGCTCAGGAAACTCAAACAGGGGCTCTGTATCAATCTAGTAGGGTGGGATGGGGAGTGAGATGGGAGGAAGGTTCAAAAGGGATGGGATATATGCATAGCTTCGGCTGATTCATGTTGATGTTTGACAGAAAACAACCAAGTTCTGTAAAGCAATTATCCTTCAATAAAAAAATAAATTAAAAAAAAAAGATAGTCACTTTGTAAAGTTAAATGTCAGGTTTATAATGTGAAGTTTATAATATGAAGACAGACATAATAAAATCAACAGGAGTTTTTGCCATTATTTAGTATAAGAAAATTATGATGAAAAACAAAATCAACTTTACCTTTTGTTCTACTCATTAGAAAATAATAGTACACACTGTCTCCTTAAACATAAACCAAATTTAATTGGAATTTTTAAAGAAAACAATCTGGCATAATTTCCCTTTACATTAGTGAAAAGCCACAAAAGAAAAAAATGCCCATGCTAAAACATCCCAAAAATATTTTCATGCTCATAAAAATTATATTACTGAGAATATTTAGAGTTTATAATAAATAACAAAGTTACTCATTTTACTCTCTTATGCATCACTTACGTCTGGTTCCTTGATAACCTCTGGAGTAGTGTTCAGCATTCCCTGCCAGATCCTAGAAAGATCTCGAAGGTTAAAAACGTAATGGAATTTTGCAGGAGTCGGGAGCATTTTAATCTTAGTCATTTGCCATAGTCGGCGTGTCAGGGGCACCAACTTCGCCACCCAATCTCTGACTTCTTCTGAGAAACCCCTCTGGGTACAGTAATATCCTACCCCAATCACACCTGAAAGAGGAAAAAAAGTCGTAACATTTTGACTGACAGTTCAAATCAACTAAATTAAAATGAAAAGCATAATGTAGAATATAAATACAATGATACATTTTAATAGTTAACCACATATTAAAGAAATTCTGATTAATTAATTTGGGGGGGGGGTTAAACCTAAAACGTAGGTATAGGTTCAAGTGAGTTAGCATTCAAATACTGAAAAGCTGATTAAGAAATGCTGCTGAAAACTCTAGCTGAACTAATTCAGTATTATTAAATGGGTAACAATGATGAATATATAAAGTTGCCTTGGACAGATAAGAAAAAGAAAGGTTTCACGAATCTTCTAAGATTAGTCCATTCTTTTGTTGCCATTCCATGCTTTATAAAATATTTTAATTTACTTTACAGGTCCAGGCCAAAAAGGATAATTAAAAGTGATAACAGTCATTCATTCTGGTCCATTTTACTTCACCCAAGTTTAGATAAGTCTGGTGTCATTGGTTTCAAACCTCTGCCCACTGCTGTGATTGAAAGCAGATATTGCCAACTCCACTATCCTAGGGCGCTAAGAAGACCTTCTAGTCTGCCAGAAGTTAATTAGGGTAATCCTAATTAGTTTTTCCTCAGTCTCAATTTCAGCAATGGTAAACTAATACCTAACACAAATGCATGCAAAACTTTACACTCTTTCTCTGAAAAGAGTGATTCCATAATCAGTTTGTAAACTCATTTTCATTACTCAGTTAAATAAATATGGTTATCAATTGTGCCAGTGTTTCCTGGATGATTTCTGAAATACTACACATGTAATCAATCAATAATTTATTACAACCCTATAAATTACTCTGAGGAAAAGACTCTGGCTAATCCCCATCCTGAGAGATATTATTGATATTTCTTAGGCTAAAATCATTATATGGGTTGGTTAGGTATCAGCTACATAAACTGCTGGTGTGGAATTTATCAGTCCAGACCTGAAATATGTGTATCCATGAGGAAGGCATCTCATCATGTCTAAGATAACTTAATATTTAACCTCCTGGCTTAAGAAGCTAGCGACAATATCTTAAAGAAATACATAGGTAGGGGCTTCCCTGATGGCTCAGTGGTAAAGAATCCTCCTGCCAATGCAAGAGACATGGGTTCGAACCCTGGTCCAGGGAGATCTCACATGCCCTGGAGCAACTAAGCCCGTGTGTCACAACTACTGAGTCTGTGCTGCAGAGATCAGGAAGCCCACACACCCGAGAGCCCACACACCCGAGAGCCCACGCTCTGCAACAAGAGAAGCCGCCACAATGAGAAGCCTACACACTGCAGCAAGAGCAGCCCATCAGCAACACAGAACCAGCACAGCCAAAAATAAAGAAATAAAATTATATTTTTTAAAAAGAAATACATAGGGAGCAAAGATCTACCTTGACACCCAACTCTATATATAAAAATGCTTTTATAAGCAAAATACACTCTTGAAAGTGATGAAGGCAGCAGACTAAGGAACCACGCAATGCTCCCCTCTGTGTGGACCTCTGGGGGGATATCTTCTCGTTGGAACCCAAGCAGGGATTCTCCCCTTCCACGCCCCACTGACATTCATTTTACCAAAGATCTTGTCCACGGAAACATCAGAGGGTAGCGTGCAGTTAAATATCGAGAACTGCCTCTTGAGTCGCTGCGGTATATCATTGCGTCCGCCCCCAGGATGGATCATAGCTGCTAAAAACTGGATGTCCACAATGCTGGTAAACTCCCCAGGCTTCTCCAGATTATAAAATCCATTCTGTTCCAGTAGCTGTCGTACTATCTCATTAGTAACCTAAGAAAGACAACTTTCAGAATTAAAAGGTCATTCCTTTATATCCCAGGACCTAAATAATGGACTTTATTGGAATTCAGGAGTTGCAAGTAGAAAAAAACAGAAAAACATTTACTCATCAAAAAATAAATCAATGATGAACTAGACAAATAAAGTGCCCAACAGGATTGATTTACCTGATCTCCCCACTCATTGATTATTGGCATATTCACATCATCAATGAAGACAGTCATCTTCTTCCCTGCTGGAGGGCCGTATGTGGTGCCCATGCGTTTATCCACATAGCTCTCTACTGTCCTCTGTTAAATGAAAAGGTCAACAGAAACATCTGTGAAAATATTCCCTAAGACATGGTTGATTATTTTAAAATTCCAAGAATGTTTGAAATGATAGAAATTACTCATAAAAACCCCAAAATGTCCCTAATTCTGGAAAACAGAGACTGAGGTACCTAAATTTTCTGGCATAACATTTATAACCTTTGAAAATCCAGTTTAATTTAGAAGTAAATAAAGTGCTAATCAATGTAAATTTTTAGATGAGACTTTTTTTTCATTTTTATTGGAGTATAGTTGTTTTACAATGTTATATTGGTTTCTACTGTACAGAAAAGTGAATTAGTTATACAGATACATATATCCAGGCTTCCCTTGTGGCTCAAATGGTAAAGAATCTGCCTGCAATGCAGGAGACCCGGGTTTGATCCCTGGGTTGGGAAGATCCCCTGGAGGAGGACATGGCAACTCACTCAAGTATTCTAGCCTAGAGAATCCCTGTGGACAGAGGAGGCTGGTGGGCTACAGTCCATAGCGTCACACAGAGTCAGACATGGCTAGCAACTTATAAATGCCTGCAAGCATCAAAATATTTGGATGAGGCAGCTAGGCAGTCGGTGTTAATCCCAGAGATGAGCACCTAGGAGTGGGTTCAGGCTGTGTGATGAGGAAGAGACGTCTGTGTTTGGATATGCTAATGTTGTTATGTTCTAGGTCATCTAAGTGGGGAAGTGCAGTTGGAGATACCAGTCCAAGGATGCAGTTTTCAGTAACTATTTAACAGGCAGCAATTCCAAATTCAGGAAGAAATCTCAGCTTCTAGATTCACAAACTATTGAATTTTTCTCCTTCCTTTGTTTTTGCTTTTGTCAATTTAGCTTTCTAATGATATATATAGCTTACTCACAATGTCCTGCTAATTCAAAGAAACAAGGGTCATAACAAAGAGGAAGAAAGTGTAGGTATGTGGCTATTACTCCATGTTGCCTCACTTGTCCCATCCTTGGCTTTTAGCTCTTAGAAGATCCCCCAAGACATAAAATCTTCATGTACCTATGAGTTCTTATCAACGGATGAGAGACTACCTGGAAGACTCTAGCTTGCCATAGGGAGTTGTCAGGAGATTATTAATTGCTTTATCCATTTAAATTCATTGAAAAGGAGAGCTAAATTTAGCCTAGTACATTACTTTAAAATATCTTAAAGAAATACATAGGTAGGGGCTTCCCTGATGGCTCAGTGGTAAAGAATCCCCCTGCCGATGCAAGAGACATGGGTTCGAACCCTGGTCCAGGGAGATCTCACATGCCCTGGAGCAACTAAGCCCGTATGTCACAACTACTGAGTCTGTGCTGCAGAGATCAGGAACCACAGCTACTGAAGCCCACACACCCGAGAGCCCACGCACCCGAGAGCCCACACACCCGAGAGCCCACGCTCTGCAACAAGAGAAGCCGCCACAGTGAGAAGCCTACACACTGCAGCAAGAGCAGCCCATGCTCTCCTCAGCTAAAGAGCCCGAGAAGCAACACAGAACCCGCACAGCCAAAAATAAAGAAATAAAATTATGTTTTTAAAAAAGAAATACATAGGGAGCAAAGATCTACCTTGACACCCAACTCTATATATAAAAATGCTTTTATAAGCAAAATGCACTCTTGAAAGTGATGAAGGCAGCAGACTAAGGAACCACGCAATGCTCCCCTCTGTGTGGACCTCTGGGGGGATATTTTCTCGTTGGAACCCAAGCAGGGAATCTCCCCTTCCACGCCCCACTGACATTCATTTTACCAAAGATCTTGTCCACGGAAACATCAGAGGGTAGCGTGCAGTTAAATATCGAGAACTGCCTCTTGAGTCGCTGCGGTATATCATTGCGTCCGCCCCCAGGATGGATCATAGCTGCTAAAAACTGGATGTCCACAATGCTGGTAAACTCCCCAGGCTTCTCCAGATTATAAAATCCATTCTGTTCCAGTAGCTGTCGTACTATCTCATTAGTAACCTAAGAAAGACAACTTTCAGAATTAAAAGGTCATTCCTTTATATCCCAGGACCTAAATAATGGACTTTATTGGAATTCAGGAGTTGCAAGTAGAAAAAAACAGAAAAACATTTACTCATCAAAAAATAAATCAATGATGAACTAGACAAATAAAGTGCCCAACAGGATTGATTTACCTGATCTCCCCACTCATTGATTATTGGCATATTCACATCATCAATGAAGACAGTCATCTTCTTCCCTGCTGGAGGGCCGTATGTGGTGCCCATGCGTTTATCCACATAGCTCTCTACTGTCCTCTGTTAAATGAAAAGGTCAACAGAAACATCTGTGAAAATATCCCCTAAGACATGGTCGATTATTTTAAAATTCCAAGAATGTTTGAAATGATAGAAATTACTCATAAAAACCCCAAAATGTCCCTAATTCTGGAAAACAGAGACTGAGGTACCTAAATTTTCTGGCATAACATTTATAACCTTTGAAAATCCAGTTTAATTTAGAAGTAAATAAAGTGCTAATCAATGTAAATTTTTAGATGAGACTTTTTTTACATTTTTATTGGAGTATAGTTGTTTTACAATGTTATATTGGTTTCTACTGTACAGAAAAGTGAATTAGTTATACAGATACATATATCCAGGCTTCCCTTGTGGCTCAAATGGTAAAGAATCTGCCTGCAATGCAGGAGACCCGGGTTTGATCCCTGGGTTGGGAAGATCCCCTGGAGGAGGACATGGCAACTCACTCAAGTATTCTAGCCTAGAGAATCCCTGTGGACAGAGGAGGCTGGTGGGCTACAGTCCATAGCGTCACACAGAGTCAGACATGGCTAGCAACTTATAAATGCCTGCAAGCATCAAAATATTTGGATGAGGCAGCTAGGCAGTCGGTGTTAATCCCAGAGATGAGCACCTAGGAGTGGGTGCAGGCTGTGTGATGAGGAAGAGACGTCTGTGTTTGGATATGCTAATGTTGTTATGTTCTAGGTCATCTACGTGGGGAAGTGCAGCTGGAGATACCAGTCCAAGGATACAGTTTTCAGTAACTATTTAACAGGCAGCAATTCCAAATTCAGGAAGAAATCTCAGCTTCTAGGTTCACAAACTATTGAATTTTTCTCCCTCCTTTGTTTTTGCTTTTGTCAATTTAGCTTTCTAATGATATATATAGCTTACTAGTAATGTCCTGCTATTTCAAAGAAACAAGGGTCATAACGAAGAGGAAGAAAGTGTAGGTATGTGGCTATTACTCCATGCTGCCTCACTTGTCCCATCCTTGGCTTTTAGCTCTTAGAAGACCCCCCAAAACATAAAATCTTCATGTGCCTATGAGTTCTTATCAACGGATGAGAGACTATCTGGAAGACTCTAGCTTGCCATAGGGAGTTGTCAGGAGATTATTAATTGCTTTATCCATTTAAATTCATTGAAAAGGAGAGCTAAATTTAGCCTAGTACATTACTTTAAAACATTTTTATTGGAGTATAGTTGTTTTACAATGTTATATTGGTTTCTACTGTACAGAAAAGTGAATTAGTTATACAGATACATATATCCAGGCTTCCCTTGTGGCTCAAATGGTAAAGAATCTGCCTGCAATGCAGGAGACCCGGGTTTGATCCCTGGGTTGGGAAGATCCCCTGGAGGAGGACATGGCAACTCACTCAAGTATTCTAGCCTAGAGAATCCCTGTGGACAGAGGAGGCTGGTGGGCTACAGTCCATAGCGTCACACAGAGTCAGACATGGCTAGCAACTTATAAATGCCTGCAAGCATCAAAATATTTGGATGAGGCAGCTAGGCAGTCGGTGTTAATCCCAGAGATGAGCACCTAGGAGTGGGTTCAGGCTGTGTGATGAGGAAGAGACGTCTGTGTTTGGATATGCTAATGTTGTTATGTTCTAGGTCATCTAAGTGGGGAAGTGCAGTTGGAGATACCAGTCCAAGGATGCAGTTTTCAGTAACTATTTAACAGGCAGCAATTCCAAATTCAGGAAGAAATCTCAGCTTCTAGATTCACAAACTATTGAATTTTTCTCCTTCCTTTGTTTTTGCTTTTGTCAATTTAGCTTTCTAATGATATATATAGCTTACTCACAATGTCCTGCTAATTCAAAGAAACAAGGGTCATAACAAAGAGGAAGAAAGTGTAGGTATGTGGCTATTACTCCATGTTGCCTCACTTGTCCCATCCTTGGCTTTTAGCTCTTAGAAGATCCCCCAAGACATAAAATCTTCATGTACCTATGAGTTCTTATCAACGGATGAGAGACTACCTGGAAGACTCTAGCTTGCCATAGGGAGTTGTCAGGAGATTATTAATTGCTTTATCCATTTAAATTCATTGAAAAGGAGAGCTAAATTTAGCCTAGTACATTACTTTAAAAGGTTTTATTTTATATTAGGGGATATGAAATTCTTCTTGCCATTGTATTGTTGTCATGGGAAATTTGTGTTGTAATTGAAAGGAGTGTGATATATTTATGTATCTTTCCATTTAAAAATGGTGAAAATTTTTCACATCTTTGGTATTATGCATTAAAACGATGATGGAAACCTACAATTTGAAATGGCTAAACTGGAGAGTTTTACAAGGACAGTTGAATAAATTTTTCTTTCTCTCTTGGCCTAATTTCATGGGTGTATTAGGTTGGTGCAAATGTAATTGCGGTTTTGGACTGTGAATTTTAACTCATTATAACTACGTTCAAACACATCTGAATTAATCAAAACAGGAACCATTACAATCAACACACTTTTGCCAATGAGAAATAAGTTGGTTTATTCATGCAGGGTAAAAATCTGTACTTTGGGATTAGACAAACTCTTGGAAAGCATTTTCTGCGTCCTGCTGGTTGTGGAAGCATTTCCCCTGCAAAAAGTTGTCAAGATACTTGTCGAGATACTTCAAGATACTACCTTTTTTAGGTAGTCAGTTGGTGAGAGATCAGGTGAATACAGTAGATGGAGCAAAACTTCGTAGCCCAATTTGTTCAACTTTTGACGCATTGGGTGACATGTGGTTGGTGTTGTAGAGAAGAATTGGGTCCATTCTGCTGACCAATGCTGGCTGCAGGCCAGCATTTTCACTGCATCTCATTGATTTGCTGAGCATACTTCTCAGATGGAATGGTTTCACTCGGATTCAGAAAGCTGTAGGGTATCAGACGGGCAGGAGACCACCAAACAGTGACCATGACCATTTTTTTGGTGCAAGTCTGGCTTTGGGAAGTGCTTTGGAGCTTCTTCTCAGTAGTCACTGAGCTGGTCATTGCCAGTTGTTGTATAAAATCCACTTTTCATCACACATCACAATCTGATTGAGAAATGGTTCACTGTTGTTGAGCAGAATAAGAGAAAACGACACTTTAAAATGATGACTTTTTTGATTTGTGGTCAGCTCATGAAGCACCCACTTATCAAGCTTTTTCACCTTTCCAATTTGCTTCAAATGCCAAATGACTGTAGGATGGTCGGCACTGAGATCTTCAGCAACTTCTCATGCAGTTGTAAGAGGATCAGCTTCGACGATTTCTCTTAGTTGGCTGTTGTCTCCTTCCGATGGACAGCCACTATGCTCCTCATCTTCAAGGCTCTCATCTCCTTTCCAAAACTTCTTGAACCACCACCGCACTGTATGTTTGTTAGCAGTTCCTTGGCCAAATGCATTGTTGATGTTGCCAGCTGTCTCCACTGCTTTACAACACATTTTGAACTTGAATAAGAAAATTGTTTGAATTTGCTTTTAGTCTAACATCATTTCCCTAGTCTAAAATAAATATAAAATAAAGCAATAAGTAATTAGCAAAAAAACATAAAGTGAGAAGTGTGCATTAAAGTGATGTATAACATAACCACATTTATTTTAAAATGCATTCCAATATTAAATGGCAAATTTCAACTATGCAAAAACTGCAATTACTTTTGCACCAACTTAATACCTTGAAGAATTGTTACTGTCATTTTAACTAGTTTGTTCTTCATCATAAAATAAGGAAACTATTTTTTGGATAAAGTGGAGAATACATTTTACCTCAATATACCTCCAGTTTCTCTTATATTTATACATTATCTTTATTTATTAAGATTTTTTTATATGCGCCACTTTTAAAGTCTTTACTGAATTTGATGCAATACTGCTTCTGTTCTATGTCTTATGTTTTTTGGCCCCAAGGCATCTGCGATCTTAAGCTCCCCGGCCAGGGATCAAACCCACACTCCCTGCATTGGAAGGAAAAGTCTTAACCACTGGACCAGCAGGGAAGTCCCCGTGTCTTATCTTTAACATAACTTAAATCATGAGTCAGTGGGAAAGAAATGAGGTCTTTAAGACTGAGCTTCTAGAGCATGAGAACCATGAAGTCCTTTCTGTTTTCTCTGCAGTGCTGTTTCTGCTTACTGAGCACATACATTTTGAGCAACTGATTGATTTCCAAACTACACTGTATTTCCATGCAAATGGTAATGCTGTAGTCAGTAGTCTAGGGTTCTTCCCCCATGTCCCCATTACCCCTTCCAACACCATTCCATCAGTTTTAATGCTCCTTTCCACATGGCTAGGGCATTTTTTTATAGAGCAGAGTGCAGTCCCCTCCTGTACCACCTGAGCTTAGAATGTAGGAAAGAGAGGGTGAGGCCCCCACTTTCTGAGGGGAGAGGAGTGGTTTAGTGTGACTGCATTTGCCCCACAGCAGACACCAGTTTGGAGGAGGAAATGCCAGCCCACTGCAGTGTTCTTGCCTGGAGAATCCCAGGGACAGAGGAGCCTGGCGGGCTACAGTCCATGGGGTCGCGAAGGGTCAGACACGACTGAAGCGACTGAGCAGGCACAGATGCCAGTGGGCAGACTTCTGAATGAAGAGACAACGGCCTTCAGATCATGGCAGCCTGTGGAGCTCAGAGCACAGATCTGAGAAGCCTCTTGGAAGTAGCCCTGATTAGCTTTTTTTTTTTTTTTGGTTGCACTGGGTCTTCATGGTGAGCGGGCTCTTCGTTGTGACTGGCAGGCTTTTTCTAGTTGTAGAGTGTGGGCTCTAGAGCACGGGGTCAGTAGTTAGAGCACATGGGCTTAGTTGCCCCAGAGAATATGGATTCTTAGTTCCCAACTAGGGATTGCACCCATGTCCCCTGCATCGGAAGGGGGATTCCTCATCACTGGACTGATCACCAGGGAAGTCCCCTTGTTTAGTTTTGGCTGTGATTACAAGGAGACTGAGCAGGGCTGGACCCTTTGTATAATGGGGGTTGGGATAGTGTCATCAATGTAGACACCAAAAGACAAAACTAAATCTGTAGGAATAAACAGAAGCATCTCTGTTGAGAACAAATGTACAGATACCCATGTGGAAAGGGGAGATGGGATGAGTTGGGAGATTGGGATTGACATATATACACTACTATATAAAAAAGGATAGCTAATGAGAACCTACTATACAGCACAGAGAACTCTACTCAATGCTGTGTGGTGACCTAAACGGGAAGGAAATCCAATAAAGAAGGGATGTGTGTGTGTTAGTCACTCAGTCATGTCCAACTCTTTGTGAGCCCTGGACTGAAACCCACCAGGCTCCCCTGTCCATGAAATTCTCCTCAGACAAAGGGGCCTGATGGGCTACAGTGGGTGGGTTACCACGCCTTCCTCCAGGGGATCTTCCTGACCCAGGGATCGAACCCGAGTATCTTACATCTCCTGCACTGGCAGGTGGGTTCTTCACCACTAGCACCACCTAGGAAGCCCCTCCAACATGGTTAAGTTCTATTATAATTTAAATATTGTTTTTTACTGTATCTCTTCCTCTCTGGACAATGATATGCTCTAAATTAGTTACTTGCTTTTCTCATATGAATGAATGAATGGCACAACCTTGTAAATTACCCACCCTGCCCCCAGTCAGGCCTGGAAGCTTCTTTATAAGTTATATACAATGTCTACATTGTATGATTTACAAATTTGTCTAGACTCTGCTGTCCAGAAAGTGAAGAGGAACTAAAAAGCCTCTTGATGAAAGTGAAAGAGGAGAGTGAAANCCAACTCGATGGTCATGAGTTTGAGTAAACTCCGGGAGCTGGTGATGGACTGGGAGGCCTAGCGTGCTGCGATTCATGGGGTCGCAACGAGTTGGACATGACTGAGCACCTGAACTGAACTGAACTGCTGTCTTCCCAAAGAAATCAGTTACTGAACATATTTGCAATATTGTGCCATTCACCTAATTCCTGGTCTCTTTGAACTACTGTCCCACTTCATCCATCCTTCTGGTGATAAAAAAGCCCTGTCCGGTTAATAAAATCAAATGGGTATATTCACTTAATTAAATATTGTCTGTCTCACCCACTAAAATACAAGAAGGGCAGGCACCTTATTTATCTTATTCATCACTGCCTCCTTGGTGTCTAGAAAGGTGTCTGGTATGATATATTTATCAGTAAATATTTGAAACATAGATCAATAAAGACAAGAAACTCAGGAGTCATCTTTAACTTTTTCCTCTCTCCTATCCCTCTCCTCCAACAACACCCACTCAACCAAAAACAAGTCCTGTCCGTTCTGCTTCTCAGACCCAATTTGAATGCATCCTATAACCACTTCCTCTCAGGTCTCTCTGAATACAGCCCTATCTCTCCCATCAGCAGCCAGAATGAACTTTCTAGTGATTTAATCCTGCTCAGTATCCCCAAGATTCCTTACTAGTGGCTTACAAGGAACACCATGATGCTCCCTGCTCACTTCTCTAGACTCATTTCTAAACACTCCTTTTCAGTCTTTGTTCCTGCCCATCATGGTCTTCATTTGTTCATATTCAGTTAACCAAAAAAACACATACTATAAAATAACGCTCTTCTCAGACTGATTTACAGTGCTCATTAAGAGATTCTTATTTACATCCCTAAAGTAGCCATTCATGAGCCAAAAAAAAAAAACTCTCAGAATTAGTATTGTTGTTGTCTAGTCTCTAAGCCGTGTCTGATTTTGTGCGACCCCACAGACTGTAGCCCACCAGGCTCCTCTGTCCATGGTATTTCCCAGGCAAGAATACTGGAGTGGGTTGCTGTTTCCTTCTCTGGGGGATCTTCCTGACCCAGGGATCAAACCTGAATCTCCTGCATTAGCAGGTGAATTCTTTACCAGTGAGTGCCCAGGAAAACCCCAAGATTAGTATTAGCCAAACATAATTTGTGAAGTATTGACTTAGATGGATGATCACCCATAAAAATCACTTCTATCAACCCGGCTTATTGATAAAAGTTGAAATCTCTAGCAAGGGCCTGGACTATGGGCTGTAAGCTGTTCTCTAAGAATAAACAACAACTTGACTCTGAAATAGCAGAATGATACTCATGATGACATCACCTTAAGCCATCAGTGGCACCAAAACAAAGATTTTGACCTTGTAGTCTGTCCAGCTCACACACTCGTGGAATGCTTTGGTGAACCCCAGTTGGATATTGCCATTTTAGACATAAAAAACAGACTGTTAGTCATCCACAGACTTAGGCATGGAGTTGAGGAAAGCCATTCTAAGCAACATGTGGGGTCTTCCCAGACCAGGGATTACCCTGCATGGTGACTCAGCTGGTAAAGAATCCACCCACAATGTGGGAGACCTAGGTTTGATCCCTGGGTTGGGAAGGTCCCCTGGAGAAGGGAATGGCAACCCACTTCAGTATAGTCCATGGGTTGCAAAGAGTCAGACACAACTGAGCAACTTTCACTTTCACTTTTCCCTGCATAGCAAGGCATACTCCTAACCACTGAAGCACCAGAAGCCCTACAATTCTCATTTTTAAAAACCAAAACTTAATGCTATGTCAGCATTTATAAGATGGTTGTTGCATTCAAAACACTTTAAGATTGTTTTTTAAAGGAACAAATCTTTTCAGAAATTCTCTCAAGAAATTTTCACTTTCTTATTTTCTGTATTATTCACATTTTTAAAGATATGTGTGAACTGCTTTCAAAAATAAAAATATAATATTTATTGAGAGGAAAAAAAAGAATCATCTCTCTTAAAAGACTAACTGAATTCCTTAGCTAAAAATACAGTGACCACATAATTTTTGTTCAAACTTCATACTTTGGTTAGTGAGGCAGATGCTATTCATCATTTATCTCAGACAACAGAAGTTAACTGGACGGTCCCTGGCAAAAAAAGGACATAGAGTCTGTCCTCCTACTGATAAAACATGTGAAAGTGATACTATGGTGAAAACAAAGGAAGCTCAGATGAAAACAATCTGTCCAGCAACAGACACGCGTCCCTGATGTATGTGCCATCGTAGTAACACGAGAGGGATGAACAATATCTATTTTCTCATCTACAATTTCAATTTGGTTTGGAACCAAGTAAATGGGAGACAAATGCTCAGCTCCAGCACCCCGTGTTTAGCATGAATGGCTGAAAATTATCACAAGAAAGTTAATTACAGCAGTTGGGCTCATTGAAAGCTTTCTAAAACCAATAAGTCTAGCTTACTAGGAAGCCCTGATGCTTAGCAGTCAAAACAGGCACTAAACAGAGCAGACGATCCCGTGATGCCTCTGAACAGAAAAATAAACAGTGAAGCGCTGAGACCCCATTCTTACTGAAGGGTAGGAAGGATCTGGGTTAAAGGTTATTAGCTGTAAATCCAACAATGGAACTCCTAGAGAATAGATGCTAATGCTTTAAAAATCTGCTTTATTATTCTTCTGATTACTATACCTCAATATGGTACTGCTTCTAGAAATTTACTGCATGGTTTATGAATTTTATATTAATAAATAGGATGTTTTCTAGATTATGTGTGCCTTTTTCCAAAAGTATTTCATGTTCAGTTCGGTTCAGTTGCTCAGTCATGTCCGCCTCTGTGACCCCGTGAATCGCAGCACACCAGGCCTCCTTGTCCATCACCAACTCCCGGAGTTTACTCAAACTCATGTCCATCGAGGCGGTGATGCCATCCAGCCATCTCATCCTCTGTCGTCCCCTTCTCCTCCTGCCCTCAATCCCTCCCAGCATCAGGATCTTTTCCAATGAGTCAACTCTTCACATGAGATGGCCAAAGTATTGGAGTTTCAGCTTCAGCATCAGTCCCTCCAATAAACACCCAGGACTGATCTCATTTAGGATGGACTGGTTGGATCTCCTTGCAGTCCAAGTTATAGAGATATAAAACACAGGTCTTTACCACCTGAGACGTGTAAATATTACCAAGAAAGATACCAGCTCAGTCATGTCTGACTCAGTGTGACCCCATGGACTTTGTAGCCCACCAGACTCCGCTGTCCATGCAATTTCCCAGGCAAGAATACTGGAGTAGGTTGCCATTTCCATCTCCAGGGGATCTTTCCGACCCAGGGATTGAACCTGTGTCTCTTGAGTCTCCCACTTTGGTAGGTGGATTCTTTAACACTAGTGCCACCTGGGAAGCCCCAATACTGCCAAGAGTTACTGGTAAAAATATGTGCCAATTCCTTGCCATATACTAAGGAATGTGGCTAGCCTTTGTCCTGGTCTAAATTCGTGGAATTTCCTGAATAAAAAGGATGCCTTTGTTATTCATGGTGGGTCTTTCAGACCACTTATGCCAGAAAGACTAACCATATGATTAGAGTGTTAGGGCTTTAAACCATGTGATACCAGCTGATCTCCAGGGGGAAGGGGCTTGGAGATTGACTTCAATCACACAGCCAGTTGATCATGCTTCTATAATAAAACTTTAATAAAAACTCCGCTCTGTTCACCGAGGCTCAGGAGGGCATCCTGGTTGGTGAGGCATACAGATGTGCCTGGAGAGTAAATACATCCTGTGGCAAAGAAGGTTCACATTCGAGACCCTCCCAAACCTTTCCCTATGCATCTCTTCTTTTGTCAGATCCCAATTCATATCTTTTATAATAAAACCACAATCGTAAGCATAGCATTTTCCTGAATTCTGAGAGTCATTCTAGTGAATTATCAAAACTAAGGGGTCACAGGAACTCTTCAATCTGAATATAGAGATACTGGAAGACATAAGTAGAGGATTTACAATGGCTGTGAAACTGCAGGTGAAGTTCAGTGGGTACATCGGAACAGTCGTGAGATTTAAGCCTCCAAAGCTCATCACAAACCTGGGCTCAGTTAGCAGCACCCAAGAGCCAGTACCTGAAACATCAGTGGGGTGGTTGCAGAAGAAAAGTTCAGACTCTTGATCACGTGGCTTTCAGGATCATATTTTGACATAAATCCTTTGATTATGACTGTCTTGGCTGTTCCTTGTTCACCAATTAACAGCACAGCCTACCACAGAAGTTGAGAAAGAAATAAAAGAAATACAGTAAGATTGTCATGGGCTCAACTGTGGATATGAGGATGCCCTAACTCCCAGTACCTCAGAAGGTGACTGTGTCTGGAGATAGGGCCTTGAGAAAGATGATTATGCTAAAATGAGGCCATTAAGGTGGGCTCTTGTTCAGTCTAAAGGGTACCCTTAGAGGAAGCAGACATTGTGAGGCACAGAGAAGCAACAGGCATGCACACACAGAGACCATGGGAGGACAGCCACCCGGAAGCCAAGGAAAGAGAGGTCCCCAGAAAAAACCAGCCAACACCTTCATCCTGGACTTCAGGCCTCCAGAACTGTGCAGAAAGAAACGTGTGCTGATTAAGCCTCCAAGGCTGTGGCACTTTGTTATGATTTGGGTAATATTTTTATTTATTGTAAACAGCAGTATAAAGCATTCTAAAATGAATGCAAGATGTTCCATGTTTTCAAGTGACATTTCTCAATGTGTCATTTTAAATAAAACTGAAAGTGCCATACCTTGCCCTGTTTAGCAATGGTTTTAATTAGGAAGTTGGTTCTCACGTTGTCAACATTTGGCACCAGGATGGAGCCATATTCTGGGGTGGTGTCAGATGGATAGACATATTCCTCAGTACACGTATTCCAGTGCATCCATTTGCCTGAGGTGAACAGAGAACATTTATATCTTCATATTCCTATTAATAATTTAATTCCTAGTTATAAAGAGCAGACATTTTTGACATCTCATGAAGCCATCTTCCAAAAGCCCCTCAAAAAATAAAAATCATTAAATTCAGACATCTAAGTATTTAAGTATGTGTTCAACTGAGTCAAAAATCCTAAAGTAGCTATTGAAAAGTGGGAATAGTAAGAATTATCTTGGAATTTTCTTCTTAAATATGTTTTTGTTGTTCAGTCAATAAGTCATGTCTGACTCTTCAACCCCGTGGACTGCAGCACGCCAGGCTTCCCTGTCCATCACTATCTCCTGGAACTTGCCCAAACTCATGTCCATCAAGTCGGTGATGCCATTTAGCTATCTCATCCTCTGTCGTCCCCTTCTCCTCCTGCCTTCAGTCTTTTCCAATGAGTCAGCTCTTCGCATCAGGTGGCCAAAGTATTGGAGCTTGAGCATCAGTTCTTCCAATGAATACTCATGACTGATTTCCTTTAGGATTGACTGGTTTGATATCCCTCTTTATTTGCTATTCAATGGGTGCTCAAGAGGTTTTTAATAACATAAACTGTGTGTAAAAATCAGGACAGTGATAGCAGTATGTACCTAAAATCATTTTTCATTACATAGTTTTCTAACTGTAAAACCAAAATAAAACATTCTAGGATGCCATATACAAATATTGTACATAAATGTAGTACATATATGTGTATATACGTACTTTACAAATATGTAGGCACATAAATAACATATATTTATGAATACTCACACCTATTTGATAAAAATATACTTCACACTTTGTAATTTTTACAAAAGTTGCTGATTATATCAAATGAATAACTGAAATGCATCTGATTCGGAGATTTTTTTAATTTGTTTTTAACTCATTAGAAGTTCAGCACACAATATATTTAGCAACAAGAAAATGTGCATCTGGAACCGAACTGAAATAAACATATGAAAAAGAAATCATGGGCTCTCTTTCAAACACACATAAACATTTCCATTTCAATTTTACAGCAAACAGTATTGATTACCATTTGGAAATACAGACCGATAAATAGGTAGGTAGAGAGCTAGAAGGTAAATATTAGACATTTGGCGGGGGGGAGGCCCCACATGTGACGGGCGGATAGAAGCCCAGGACTCACCATCCGACCCAACGTGATAGTCAAACATGGAGTCGTCAGGCCCCGCGAGGGGCGGCAGGTCCAAGGCCAGCATCTCCCGGGAGCGCAGCCAATGCTCCATGCGGCGCCGGCCGTCCGGTTCCAGCACCGCCCCCACGCTCCACATCAGCGAGAAGATGTACAGTCTTTCCAGGTGCTCCGCCGTGACCTCCCCGCCTTGCTCCTGCGTACGCAAGAAACTTTCCTTTTAATTACTTCATTCTCAAACCAAGACTTGGCTTTGATATCTCAATGAAAATTTAAGTAAAGATCTAAAAGGGATAACAGCTCCCCCCCCCCAAAAAAAAAGAATAAAACGAGGAAAAGATGAATAAAACTGGAGAATAAATTCAGAACTTATGTCTGGGAATATAAAGCAAGTTTCTGAAATAAATTTAGAATTCTTTTAGATGACTGTGAACCTGCCCCTAAGTGATCAATACAAACCGTGGCTTGCTTTGTTTAAAAAAAAAGAAATGAAAACACACACACACACACAGCATTAATATGTGAAGTCCATGATTGAAACCTTCCCCTCCCACTATGGCTCTAAGAATCAATTTCAAGTCTCACACTCTGCAAAGTGTGGCTCAGCTAACAAGGGAGAAATTTCTAGAAAATTGAGGGATTTACCTTGGGAGGGATGAGGCCCTGGAGCATGTTGAGGCTTTGCAGGACCACAAAGGCCTCCAGCATCTCCATCTGATGCTCTAAGTTCTGAATACTGAAGCGATACAGGTCTGGAAACGACTTGGTGTACAGCTGACGAAGAATTTCAGCTTCTTGAGGCGAACGTTTTTTAAGAAAACCCTGTTAGTGTTCAGATGAATGCATTCATTAAATTTATTAGCACACCAGAAAAACGATCTAGTTGAGGTACAAGAGTTTTTTAATATCAGTTAACAATAATAATACCTAATGATTATATTGCACTTGTAATGCACCAGGCCTTGATATAAATTCTTTCATGTGTGACCTCATTTAATGTCAAAACAATTCTATGAGATAGGGATGGTTATTATCCTTCTACAGATAAGGAAACTAAGGCCCAAGGAGTTTAAGTAACGTACCCAGGATCCCATAGCTTATAGGTGTCAAGGCCATCCCCAACCCAGGGATCAAACCCACTGTGTTGCAGGTGGATTCTTTACCAGTGAGCCACCTGGTAAGTCCAAGTCATTTGGAAAAAAATGATCCCAGAGTCTGATTCTAGTATCTGTAAGTTCAGCTACACTACACCTAAGCTCAGGTCTTGAAGTCAAAATAAAGGGAGAAGTCTTAGGCTTTTGGTTAAAATGTGCTCGGAGAAAATGAGGAAGCATGTACGTGGAAATAATTTAGAAAAAGAAAGAGGAATAAAAGATAAAGGAAATCCATTCTCGGATTATTCAAAATGGGAGACAAAGATATATCACAGTCTTACTTCTTCTAATCTAATTAATAACCAATGTAGAAAAAACATCAAGGAATACTCAGGAAAATGGAGAATTTGGTCATTTAGGAAAGCCAGTATTAGGAAACTGCATGTGATTCATAACAAAATACCACTTAACACACAACAATATTTTCTTCAGATGAGGATATTTCCCTTGGCATCAAGAAACCAGGTCATTCTTAGAGACTCTGAACAGAAGCAATAGAACGGTGATTCTCAGTTATCCATAATTTCATGAATTCAACATGATTGCACAACGACAAAAACAAAACATAGCACTTTGAAGTTGATGGAAGCAGAAAATATCATACACAGGGCCAAGTAATCGGCGTGACTCACAGAGGTTCACGGAGTCTCATGAACGCAACTTCTCCATTTTCAGCCCTCCAGTGACTCTCGCAGAGCCGCCCTGCCCTCCTCTGAACATTTCCAGTCAGATTTTTATGAGTCCTGCTTCTTGCTAACCATGTGTAAGCAAATTAGCATTGATATAAAGGTCTTATTCACCCTCAACGTGGACAGAGTACAGTAGAAACTTATTTCATAAATAGCAAACTGTAAATATTCATTAGCTAACAGTGTAAAAATATTTTCTAAAAGCCGTTGTAAATTTGAAGTATTTGGGGGAAAATCACAAATTCATTTTCACTTGGAGTTTGCTGTATCCCTGGTTACCAAGCCTGAATCCACTGTGGTATTTTTTTAAAAACATTTAGAACACCTGTCTCCCCAGAGATTCCAGTTTGATAGATTGAGGTGTGACACCATTATCTGTATTTTAAAGAAATGCCATTGGTGATTATTCTTGGAAAGCCAGAGTTGAGAACTCTTGTTCTGAATTCTCCTTGAAGGATGGATAATTTAATTGTGAAATCTGAAATTTTCAGAAGCATTTTTAGTGACATATCCAACTGTACATCAGAATCATTTTTCTTTATAATCCCCTAATTTGAAATATGTATTCATAAGTTTTTAATCAAAATTATCTCCAAAAAACTTATTCAAGTGAAAATAATAATTTGACAGACAGTGTCAAAAAAGATTGTACTGACAGCTCATCTAATAAGCATTCTGCCTTACATTATGGTATTTATTTAGTAAAGTATGTGAGTATGCAAGGCATTCAATTACAATCTTACCATAATCGATATACTCTAACATATACTGGTAGTAATAAAATAATATACCTTATGAGGAATTAAACAGATATTATCTGAAATATTATTTCCAGGTGCAAAGTTAAAACTAACATTATTACTATTGAATCTCATAAAAATTCTTTATATGTAATTTTAATAAATTATATCCTTCAAGTTAATATTCTAAGATGGTTGCTTAAATTTTCCTTATTCATTTACAGCGTGGTAGGATTATTGATTCACCTAGGCCTTGCAATGATTCCTCAACCTGAGCTGAAGAACCCTGAGCACTGAAGGAATCTTAAAGGGACAGCCAGGGCTGAAGGTCGCAAGAGCATTCAAGGATCTCCCACAAACATCAGCATTAAAATGCAATCACACCAGGAAGTCTGCAGGAAAATCAGTGCACACTGTAAAGGAAGGCTCAAGGATCTATTTCCCTCTTTAATTATACCAAAAATGATTCCAATCCTACCTCAAGAATAGGGCTCCAGTCAAGGATAGAAGAACTCATGAAAACCATCCCATTTCTTGAGACGGTAGCAGGCGAAGCGTTGTCAATGTTATGAGGTTCAAAAACAATCTTGCAGTTTGGAGCCATGGGAATCCGATCGCCATTGGCAAGGGTTAGTGTTTTGTTATCATCCAAAACGGAATTCAGATTTTCAATCCAGATGGCATCTACTGGACCATCAAGAACTATCCAAATATGCTCCCCTAAAACATCCCACCAAGGGCAAGGGGAAAAACATACAGACACATATATGCATATATACATAACTACTATGATTGAAGAAATATTATAACAATGCAATTTTCATTAATTTTTAAATAAAGCTTTGACCTAAATGATTATCTTATTTCTTTGCATAGGAGTCTTCCAGTTCTTTACATAGCAGTTGTTTAAAGCCCACAATCAAAGCAAAAAGTCATTTGTTCCCTGAACAGATATTCATTGAGCACCTTCTCTGTATCAGCATTGTTCCTGGGATAGGGTGATAAAAAAGACAACATCCTGCCCTTCACAGAGGTTGCTTTCTAAGGGGTAGAGATGACAAAGCAATATGCAAAGAAATATGTAAGAAAAATTCAGCAGGATAAGAAGGTGGGGCATTTTAGATAAGGAGGCCCATGAAATATTTCTGGAGCAGAATGAAGTGATGAAGAGATGTAGAACTAGGATTTTTCAGGCAATAGTAGTTGCAAAGTTCCTGAAGTGGGTACAAGCTTAAGGTGATCATGCTCCAGGAACAACAGGAAGTCAAACCTGGTTAGAAAGAAGACGAGAAGGCAGAAAGGGATGTGAGTGACACAGGCAGAGCTCCAAGAATCCATTCTGGTTTGCACAGGCTGAGTTTGAGATGTTCAACAAGACAGCCCATAGAGCTGTTGAGTTGGGAATTCAAAGACTAGAGATTAAAATGTAGAGACCAGCTTAGAAATGGCATTGAGAGCCGAGAACTGGGTAAGTTTCACCCAGATCATAAGTGAACAGCTAAGAAGTCTGAGAACAGAAGCACTTGAATGTCCAGACTTCTGGGTCTGAACCAGGGTCTCCTCTTCTGGTTCCTCCCGCTGGCTGACCTCTCAGTGAAGCGGAAGTGAAGAGGAAGGTGTCCATGATGTCATGTGGTGGAAGAGTTTGAAGGAGTGATCAACTGTGCCAGACAGTGCCAAGAACGGGGCTAGACTGAGAAGTGACAGCCTGTGTGTGACAAGGTGGAGGTCATGAGTGTCCCCAACAGAGCACTTTCCGAGGGACACTGGGCACAAAGACCAACAAACGTCAGGTCAGGAGATATTTGGAGGTAAAGACAGCAGCATCTGCAGAACACCCAACAGAAATGCCCTTGTAAATTCAGATATTCGGTTTCACAGTTGCTCTTCATTTCTTAACCACTAGGTCTCTCTTACCAACCAGCACCATGACCAAGTTTGTAGTTCTAATTTTTATCGGTAATAACTGTGCAGTACTCTACGTCAAATGAAATGCTTAGAAAATCCTAATTATGCTCATTCAACTAGCAGTTTAAGGAAAATGGTGATCTGATCAGCAGAGTCCCTGTGAATGTTTAAGCATATGTTGCCTTTTTTTAAAGAGTTAAAAAAAAAAACACCTCTCTGAGGGCCTATTCTCTGAGTTAACATTTGCTCACTGGATCTGTGTGACACAGGATTACTAGAATAAGTCAGAAACAAAAGTGTATTTAACTCCCATAAAACAGCAACAGTTTCTAATACAAGTACACTAGAAATGAAACATTTTCTTTTCTCTTTCGCCATTGGTGTTGAGTTGATCAGCCACATTCCCTCAAAGAGAAGATCCGTGGTACCACCTTAAATGTTTTTCAACAGAACACTGTCTCCCAAAGCATGGACTCGTGAAGTGAGCCCAAATGTCTCTGCCCTGCTCCTGTATCCTCCTGTGTCCCTGAAATTGCTTTCACGGTGCTTTCTCCTACTCATTCAGGAGTGAGAGGAGAACTGACCGTCACCTCCTCCATCTGAACTTATTATATTCTGGGATCACCGGGCTCAGTTTGCAGGGTCCCTAAGTAAGAGAATATTCAGAGTGAACCACTAGCCTTTAAGGAATTGGTTTAAACTAAAGCCAAACACACATGTCATCTAAAGAGAATAAAGTATGATCAAAAACTTTCTTTTTGATACAATCTGCTTTCCTAAGAAGCCCATTTCCACCTACAATTTTATAGGAGAATCAGTTTCTAAAGATAGGCCATACTGAGATGAGTACCATTTTTAAAATAGTTATGGTGAAATCACTTGATTTAATACAATCAAGTTTCCTTAACAGATTTTGCTATTTCATTCTAAGATATCACAGGAATATAGAAATATATTTTCAAAAGGAAAATTCCTTTTGTAACAAAAAAAGGGAGGAAGTGGGTATTTTAAATACATTAATCAGTCATTCATCAATCATTTCTGTATTTCAACATTCACAAATATCATACTGATTTATGACTTCTTGGTCTTGGATAAGACATTATACAGAAAATACAGTTTTACTAATTTTATTTTTTTTAATATTTATGTATTTGGCTGCATCGGGTTTAGTTATGGCCCACAAGCTCAATTTCCCTGCAGTGTGTGGGATTTTAATTCCCCAACCAGGGATCGAACTTGCGTGTCCTGCATTGGAAGATGGATTCTTAGCCACTGAACTACCAGGAAGTCCCCTACTAAT